AACCTAAACGAACAACGTCATTTGTTTATTGGTTATTTATCACTTATTGTGCCAGGAGCTATACTGAAAGTTTTTTTTTTAACTTTAATATGGATTGCTACACGATGTTTAGATAAATATTTTAGGATTAAAATATTACAATCATGATGCCTGTATAAGTACTGTGGCTCACAAGGAAATCGGAATGAATATTATAAATTCCGAAGAGGTTATCAAACTCTTTTGTAAAGAAGATTAATGTTCTTCTTTTTTCTTCTATACTATAAAGAGGAAAGATTCGATTGTTTGTTTGCTTGCATCGATAGGCTGTGAAACTACTGAACCGATTTAAAAAATTCTTTCACCAACGGGAAGCTACATCATACGCGGCTGACATAGGCTATAATTAACGTAGGCAAAGCTGCGGGAAAAAAGTTAGTTCCATGAATATAAAAAATATCCTTTATCATTACTAAGATGTAATAGCCAATTACAATAAACATTTCGACAAATAAGTATCTATATCATGTCTAAACGGTGGCCATTACACGGCTCTTAGTGAAATATTACAAAGTTTATCGATACTTTGGCAATCGAGGAAATTGTAGTACTGTCTCTTCTGAGCCTGGAATGATATACAGTGCTAACATGACACGTAATGGGAACGAAACGGGAATAAACGTAGTGGAAAATAATCTATGTTTGCAAACTATGGTGGCGAATTTTAAAGCCACATTTGACATCTATCAATTTAATAGCTATTCAATGGAAATTTTCGATAATATTTTTCAATTAATCCGTTACAGTATTGTAAATAAAAAAAAAAAAAAATTACAATAATTATTATTAAAAGGAATATATTTAATAGACCGCAATATACTTTGCTACGGCGAAAATCAGTAACCGTTTTAATTTTAATTTTAAATTGTACTTTAACAAATGTTCAAAAAATCTTACATATATTTAAGTAGGCTAAATGCTTTACTAGTTCTAAAATAGCTCGAAATGATTCCTTTCATATTACACACGAAACGTTTTCAGTACCTTTTTTGCACTTTTAACATCGACTGTTAGATAAATTTACTGTAAAAAAATATTTAGTTTTGTTTCCTTCTTTTAGATTCAGGAAATAAAATCCGCAACTTCAGTAATAAGATTGGTCGCTTCAACGCTATTAGATTCATATTCCCCTGACTAAAGCGTGAATTTAATTATTCGTATCGGTCTAGTTCCGTTGGTTACTCATCTATTATTACGACTAAGCTTTTACCGAAATTCGACGGAGTCCTTAGCTGGCTATATGTGTTTCGTTTTATTCCCACGAATTACTAGAATGTGATAAATAGCATAAAAGTTAGAATTAGCATTTCATGTGCTTGCAAAATAACTCTTAAAAAAATCCTTTAATTTTTTATGAAATAAATCATCATCATTACCAGCGTATGAAGATCTGATGGGGCTCAGGGATAACAGGAGAATAGGCCATGATCCACTACGCAGGTCTTGTGTGGCATTGGTGGGTGACAACGACTGTAGATGCAGTCGAGACCAGCGGCTTAACGTACCTTCCGAAGCACATCATCAGCCGGAAGACGTCCACTGCTGAACATAGGCCTCCCCCTTTGAACTCCACGACGGACGACATTGCGCCAGCTGCATCCAGCGGCCGCCCGCGACTCGGACGATGTCGTCCGTCCATCTAGTCGGGGGTCGACCCACGCTGCGTCTTCCGGTTCGTGGTCTCCACTCGAGAACCTTTCGTCCCCATCGGTTATCGGTTCGTCGAGCGATGTGGCCTGCCCACTGCCACTTCAGCTTACAAACTTTGCGAGCTATGTCGGTCACTCTAGTTCTTTGGCGAATATCCACGTTTCGGATCCTATCGCGCAAAGAAACCCCTAACATAGCTCTCTCCATGCCTCGCTGAGCGACTCTGAGCTTCTCTAAGAGGCCAGCAGTTAAGGACCACGTTTCAGTGCCATAGGTCATCACTGGCAACACACACTGGTTATACACCTTCGTCTTTAGGCACTGTGGTAATTTGGACGTGAAGATATCGCGTAGCTTCCCGAACGCTGCCCAGCCGAGTTGGATTCTTCGAGCGACCTCTTTGTCGAAATTGGATCTACCTAACTGGATTGTCTGTCCAAGGTACACGTAGTGATCGACAACTTCGAGAGTATCAGTTCCAATGACCACCGGTACGGGTGCAACATGGACATTCGACATGATTTTTGTCTTGTTCATGTTCATTTTAAGACCCACCTGATTGGAAACGATACTCAGGTCGCTGAGCATTGTACTGATGTGCTCCATCGATCTTGCCAAGATGACTATATCATCGGCGAAACGAAGGTGAGTGATGTATTCGCCATTGATGTTGATGCCGTATTCGTCCCATTCCAAGAGCTTGAAGACGTCCTCCAATGCATTCGTGAACAGTTTCGGAGAAATGACATCTCCCTGTCTCACGCCTCTGCGCAATTGGATTGGTTTCGTGCTCTCTTCCTGGTAGCGAATCGACATTGTGGCGTTGCTATACAAACGCTTCAACACTTCGACGTACCTGTAGTCGATTTGGCATCGTTGGAGGGACTGCAGTACTGCCCAGGTTTCGATTGAATCGAAGGCTTTCTCATAGTCCACAAACGCTAAGCAAAGTGGCAAATTATACTCCTCGGTCTTCTGTATAATCTGCCGCAGCGTATGTATGTGGTCTATGGTGCTAAAGCCTTTTCGGAAACCGGCTTGTTCGGGAGGCTGGAAGTCATCAAACCGGCGTTCGAGACGATTCGTAATGACCCTCGAAAACAGCTTATAAACGTGGCTCAGAAGCGAGATTGGTCTATAATTCTTCAACAAGGTGATAGAGAGCCAGTTAAAATAGAGCCAGTTGAAGCACAGAGGAGTTTCAAATAAAATAATTTTGGTCACCCATCCTATGAACGATCATTGCGAAAGTTGCTTTATAATCATATGGCAGATCACTCTACCGAGTTTTTTATATAATATATATACACCGAATTTAATAACTAAAAGTTCAGTACAAAAGAATAAAAATAAAATGAACTGAATCATTATTTTTATTGCAGATTATATAATCGTTTACTACTTGTATTTCTCGAACCAATATTTGGTAACCATTCAGATGCTATTTGTAATACGGGTCAACGGAAAGGAATATATCGCCTCGAGCTATCGCTTAATACTACCCTTAGCCTGTATTTATACAGACCTAACAATATATACTAAATAACTATAGTCAACTCAATCATCTCGAAAAACATGAAAATTTGCGAGGGAATACTAATCAAATTATATTAATGTAGTAACAACAATAAAAGCACTTTAAATATCATTCATATATGAACGCAAGAACAAAAAGTCAATAATATTAAAAAATAAAGAAATAACAATAAGATAATTATATATTTACATAATTTACTGATTTATAAATTCTTAATAAATTGAAGCGTCTACAGAATGTTTGCATCAGATTCATTTTCCATCTCCGTAAATTTGACCATGTGTCGCATTTCCGTTCCAAAGTCAACTGGCTCTCTATTCGCCGGCGCAGGGACTTACATACTTTAAAGCTTCTGTACTATTTTATTTTCCTTCCCTCTTCTCTATCTTATCTCAAACAGTGTTTCGCTTTCCGTTCTTCTTCGTCTCAGTGTACCTTGCGATCCTCTTCTAATCCTCATCATTTTACCGACCTTGGACATTCCTCATCATTTTACCGACTTATTCAGCTATTCCTTTTCTGTGCATGCTGTGCAATTATGGAACTTACTTCCGGAGGATGTCAGGAAATCTGGTTCACTTAGTTCTTTTTGCGAGAGAGTTAAAAGCCATTACCTTTGCTTATCTTAATTCTATCTCCTTATATAAAGTTTTTATTATGCTATATCTTGTATCCTTCCTATAGTTGCAACCAATTGCCCATATAATCTTTACCCTTTTTATATTTTTTCGTCCATAGGTTGCCTGGAAGAGATTGCTGCTTAGCAATGTAACTTGTTTTTATGTTTATTCTGTTATGTGCAATAAAGTATATTATTATTATAATAAAATTCATTCATGAGCTCGGTGGCGTAGTAGATAAACGCGATCATTGTTGTTAAGCAAGTTTCGTAGGGGTTAAGCATGTTAAGCCGTTGGTCTCGTCTTAATTTGCATTCGCTAATACACTCCAAGAGGCCGTTCATTAATCACGTGATGTTTTTTTAACAATTTTTAACCCAGAGAGGGTTGGTCTCACCATGTATCACCCCCCTTGGTGATACATGTTTAAAACTACCTACCCCCTCTACCCAAATCACGTGTAGTTTTAGTACCTACAAAATATCTTAATTGACGCCACATTTCGGTTTAGTTATCGCGCGTTTGACGAAAAAATTAATACACGTGATATTTTACTACAAACCGTGTGATATTTCGTGATTTTTGTCAACTTCCTCCCCCTCTTTGGAGCCTCACGTGATTAATGGACGGCCTCCTATCCGTATTAGGCCAGCGTGAAGGAATATAGGCATGGCCCATCCTCCGTAAGGAAGGCCTGAACCCCTGCAGTGGGGATATAAAAAGGTTAATGATGATAATGACCATTCATATCGAATCGAAACTAGTGGGGGCGCAAATCCTAAAGATACCAGGACAAAGTCTGCAATAGGGATGCCTACTAATTTTTGATTGTTTGTCCGTCGGGCAGAATACGGCGATACATTGGGCTTAAATGTCACATGACGTCACGCTTTTGTACATTTTCTACAAAACTGCGACGTAGCGAGCCCCCACTACTCAACTTCAATCCTGCTATCTAAATCACTTCTTGTTAAATGAAAAAAGAAAATATACGTATCTAATATTTTCCTATTATCTGACTGACGGACTAAATAGAATTTCTTTTATTACCTAGTCGTCATCCCTATTGATATTAAACGATAAATAATAGATATTATGTAAGTAAGTTGACCCTACTATAATATATACCTCTTTATTTCAAAATAGACGGTAAAATGAGGTAAATACCTCAATAAAAGAGGAAAATTAATCACATTATTAAATTCAGCAAACTACGAATAACGAATAAATTATAATAATAGAAAGATATCTACAAGGAAAATTGCATTTACAATTTTAATTGTTAGTGCTAATTTGTAATTCATTATAAACAGTCGTGATGATGTTTAAAAAGTTAATGAAAATTCTAAGCTTATTATACTTTGGTAAGTAATAACTTTAATGTTATTAGTTGACTTATTTTAATTATCAATGGCTGATTAATTTGTTTGCACAACTACAAAAAATAGAGTAGAGTTATCTAGTCATCGTTTTATATGTTTATTTAGTGAATTAGGAAATATTCCTCACACTCGAACAAATAAAAAACTTCAGTGTACATGCATCACGGCCATTTCTCCTCTCTCAATATTTATCAGGCCACGGAGCTCACCTTTAACTCCATAGATTTGGTGTTTCCCTCACAGAATTTTGTCCCTGCGACTCTGTCACCCGTCACCCCAATATTTATTAGCTGAATGGCCCAGATTCTCAACAGCTTCACTCTCATATCATTGTCGTAACAGGGTTGTAGATAGAAAGCACCCTGATAGAGCTGAGTCAAAAACATGTGTTCACTGAATTGGTGGTCCGCCTTATATATTAAAAGATATTTATAAGAATATCGGGGCCTCCAACACAAATAAAACGTACAAATGGCGGACTTAATGCCAGTAGGCATTCTCTACCAGTCAACCGGAAAGTTATGGAATAGATACATTAATAAGGCGGTGCTACAAAAAAAATTAATAAAGTCAATATAGACACATATACAATTAAAAAAAAATCAAAATATTGGAATATACATAACAAACATATTACATATCATAAATAATAAAAAAAATTAATACTAACATACAATATATATATACATATATATATATATATATTAATAATTTATTTTAAATTGGATTCGTGTATGAAACCTTGCAAAGTTTTCAAAATGATTAAAATTTCACTACACTGGACTAGTAAAACTTTAATCATTTTGAAATATGTATTATGTATTTTTTATGAATATACTAAAATGTTACCTAATAAGTTAACATTTACTTAATTGGTGGGTGTCGTTGATTGCAGTTGCAATCGGGACGAACAGCTGTACTTTCTAAAGTACATAAATATCTATAGTTCTTTGAATCTAAATCTAACATTAAAATTAAATTCAACTTTCGTTTGTCTAAAATATACCGTCAATGATATTAATGTTATTAAAAAAATTATTAAATTTGATAAATTTTGCATTTTTAAAATCCACTTTGTCCCTGGCACTCTGAGATGGAACTCGAACACATGGCATAAATATTTTATAAATGTCTATTTTATTACAGTTATAGAAATATGTGTTGCAGACAAGGCCGATGGAAGCATAAATGTGGTAGGTCAACTGTACTTTTGTAACTTACTTTATTAACTACTCAATATTAAATATACACATATATATTATTTTTATTCAATTATATATCAATAATTTCTGAATAATTTATACATATTTTCCGAGGATAGAAAACACCGCTGGCGCCTCACTGTCGAACGCGGTGTGAATTAAACTATTTAGACGTTAATCAACCCCGTCACTATTTTTTTTATTTTATCCAACATTAACATTGGCAACATTTTAAGTGGATTCACTTGTGAATTTTAGTCACCTAAGTGAATTCTAAATTCGAGTTCAAATTTTTGCGGGATGGATCTAAAATAGAAATTATCTAATTTTCAAATTCAAGGGCAGTAACGGGTTGCGAATTCAATTTTTTTATTATTATTTTAAAAGATTTTCTCTTGTTACTATTCCAGAAAACCAAATTGGACGAAGGAGATAAAGAATGCACTACCGTATGGAGTAAGTGGAAAAGATAATAAAATTATTTAAAATGGATGATCACATAAAATAAAAATATTTTAATTTTCTCTTTCAGAAGTGTGCGAGCTACAATCGGTAATTGTTAATATTTTTATTTATTGCATATTAATGTTTACATTTAAATAATTTTTTTTTTAATACAATTGCAGGACACTATTCAACCAATTCCTGGACCTAAGGGTGAAAAGGTAAATTTGATACTTTATTCATAATGCATTATTCAGTTATTAAGCTGTAACTTTAGTCTTAGTTTTAATATATGCGGATTAAGTTTAATTATTTTATATCATAAATTTAACTTTTTATATCGATTACAATTCAATTTGTACGTCTATCGTTGGGCCTTAAGGCTTGGTGTATAGACAAAAAGTGCAGCTATCTAGTTAGGTTTTGTGACCTCGCTCTAACCTCCTATAGGATGTATATATCTTAAGTCGTAGCGAAACTTAGTTGGCGCGATGCAGGTATCGCGGCGTCATCTCGTGATTAATCGGTGCATCGTGAAGTTTTCGCATTGCCGTCCATTATTGTGGTAATGTTAGCGCAGTAAAATAGATGTCGTCATAGCTGCGTTAGTTATTTTTCAAATCGACCAATATTTTTCAAGGGTGAACGAGGTCTGGATGGAGAGCCTGGTCTAAAAGGACCGAAAGGACCTGCTGTAAGTTTTTTATTCAATTTTACTAGATAAATATTACAATATTTGATTAATTTTGCAGTCCAAGCTAAACTGACAAATATCTTGAATGAAAACTATTTACAAATTCACCCGGAGATTTGACTCGAACACATACACTTTCGCATACCGGGCTCGAACTATGCTACCTGAGATCCAATAGGACTAACGCTGCGCATTCGCAAGTTTCATAATATAATATAATCCACATTCATTTCATACATTAATTTATACAATCTTCCAAGCTCTTGTTTCTTTTAGTTAAGTTTTAATGTTCATCAATGTTGTTTGGGTGGATTGCCTGAATCCACCCAAATAGGCAAATTAATTAGTTTTAGAAATACATATATTTTAACTTACCATTAAGGTGAATATTTGTTCTAATTATTAAACGTAGGGCACCATTGACTAACTTTTAAAATGTTATTTCACTCCTCTGTGATGACGTGAGATTAATGTTTTTCATACTCTTTGACAGCCTTTTCTGAGTTAGTAGTATCTAGTTATGCTTTAGATCTGATTTATTCACATCGATAATTTCATGTTCAGGGTATAGATGGAGTGCCAGGCAATAAAGGTGATAGGGTAAGTATTAACTGTTTTGACTACTCTACTAATATATTGGGTCATATAAGCATAGGGTTGTCAACTTTTTTTACAAGAAATCTAGTATATTTAGGTCTGTGAAAGATATTAAACATTCAAAGTATTTTGCAACTGACTAAATAATAAAATTAAAGGGGCGTCTAAATCTTACATTCGTTTTTAGCATTTTAATGCAGCAAACGCTCGCAATTGATTTAAATATGAAAGGTTTCGTGGCTTCCCTCAGCTTCTAAGTTCTCGCCTTGTATTTTAAAACCGACGAGCAAAGAGTAGTGAAAGTGTAAGAGGTGAAAAATGTATTAAAAGCCGTGACTTGTGGCACTTGATTCTCTCTGCTTGCCGCTTAAGGGATGTAGTGAAGTGTGATAATGTAGTGCAAAACAGTATACTACTTTTATTAACATGATAGTTTACACAACCTTGTTAAGCGGCAAAGTTTCGTTAATATTTTAGAAATATAATTTTGACCTTATTAATCTCAATCTCAATCAAAATAAATTAAACTTTTTTAATTATAATTTAATAGCAAATCGTCAAGATTATTGTAAGTGTTGCTTAAACACATACCAGTTACAAAGATAAAATAAGTAAGTCACCTAAGAGGTGAGCTAACATTGTCATATTTCGCTTTCTGGAAAATGTTATTAATTCTCTTTTTGTTTTTATAACAAAACTCATAAAATACGACTCAGATTTCTTATTCTTAATCACAGCTTATTTGGTCATTTCTATTTCGTGCAAAACTAATTGAAAAACTAAAGATCATTTTCGTCATCATCATGCTCAGGAGGCTCAGGACTTCTATATAGCTGGAATCGAATCGAATAGGGAGAACGGGCCATGACCCACCACACGGGCCCAGTGGGGGTCAATGGCTATAAACGACTGCGGATGCAGTTGGCGCCAACGGCTAACATGCCTTCCGAAGTACTGAGATATCCGAGATATTATATATTTGGTCACCCATCCTATAACCCGCCATTACATTAGATGCGTAACAACCGTATCGCAGACCAAGCGCTAATCACTGCGCCATTCAGCTCCTCAAAAGTCGATACGTGATACAAATTTTAGTAATAATAAAAATATTTGAGTTCTAGTTGCATCAGGACTGTTTCCACCCTAATAGAGGGATGATTCGCATATTCTGATGTGGATTTCGTCATTATGCAGGGACCATTTGGGCCACCTGGCCTCCCTGGATTGGATGGAGTATGCCATTTGAATTGCCCTGTCCGGTATAGTTCAGGTATTTTTATTTTACTTTTGGTAAACATAAAATAATAATGATGAAAAAAATAATTTCTCTATCGACCGGTACACCAATTCTGCTCAAAAGAATCTTAACTTAATGTTAGTCACAGGTAAGACACAGGTCTTCCTCACTCATCAATGGTGACAGATATATTGGAATTCAGATCGATAGACACAATGGCAAAATGAGATTGTATTAAGACACAATTATTACGTACCTAAACATTAGCAGAATTGGATTACCAGTCGGAGACACAACCTTATAGTTGGTGTCACCTTAAAAACAACGTATAATTCACAAACCATTCCAACCACACAGGTCTTAACCTAGACATTCTATGATTATTTCCTTCACTGCAAATCTGCAATTACAATTATGTTTCGAATAATTTTAGCTTCAACGGAGGATGCCACGAGCTCCGAGGGATTTCCAACGGAGCTTGGAACACAAAAACGACCATCTGATGTGCCTTGTAATGTTCAGCGTAAAGATGATAAGTTTGAAGGTAAGTTATCTTTCTTAATATGTTTTTTATTTGGTTCCTAACTGGTTAAAATGCCGGTCAATAATGCCGGTAACGGGCATAGTATACTAACGATAGTAAATCACACATTCACTGAAACGGATGCAACATCTAATAATAGATTAACATCTCTAATATATATATAACGGCGGGTAGTCTCAGGGGGCTTTTACGAAGCCCCTATAGATCGTCCATATCGGAGAACTATCTTTAAAATAACACTACAGGGGTGTATACCAACGTGGATTTGTTACATTTTATCACTTCATACGAAAATATAACGAGATAAGCGTGATGTCATCGGATGTCTTTACTCCTCGGCGATCGGAAACAGAATGTGTGCCAAAATGGCGGCAACTTGGTTTTTATTAACGAACTGTCAAAGTCAGTGTCACCATTCTAATAAAATTAAAAGTATCGATGATCACGCTCTCTTTACAATCGAGTAATTTAGTAATCGAGTAACTAGCAATTAAAATAAAAGAAACTAAATCAAACGATCTTCGTAATGATGATGCGACATATATATATATATATATATGTAAACCTTTACATTATATTTATATATATATATTTTATTGTCATTGTAAATCAATATCTCATAGACGTCGTTACGCTGAGGCTACAGAACTATGAAATATATCAAAATTATTTAAAATATTGCACAAAGGAGAGTGATGTCCGAGTTTAAGAAGTTTCAATTCGGGACAAGATGATTCTTGTGTCCATTAATTAACTTGAACAAGAGCATGATGTCAGAGACTTTTCTACGTGCATATAGGCGATAATTTATAATGAATGGTACGTAACTGATAAGAAGGAAATCGGCTGCACATACCGTCAGAGAAAGCTAGTTGGTATAAAAAAAATTTTGAAAGAGTTTCTATCTATTTGTATATTAGATAGCCTGTATTAAATAAATATAAGTACAAATACAATATTAAAAGCCCACCGTATTGCTATAGATGATAATAGTCGGCATGGGTTCTTTCTAAACCCTTATCTCTAGCGCAGCAAACTCAGCCAGTTCAGAGGTTTTTCTAAGAATAAAATCAATATTAAACCTAAAACTGAGTGTGGCGTCCATAATTTATAGGTCCCGTTAGAGATTAGATACTCTTTGTACTAATCTATGATATCTTGTCATCGAATAAATGGTCTATCAAACAGTCGATCCGTGTATTTAATTCTAATTTTCTAATAGGTTACGGGCCCAGTATACGCAAAAGATGTCTCGAAAAGCTTTATTTACGATAAATAAATTAGCGGGAGCAGATGATTTTCAAGATTGGAAGTTTTCGATGAAAATGTTGTTAAAAAAAGAAAAGATGTTCCATCTGACAGAGAAAATTCCAGATCCATCAAATGCTGAAGATGTGGAAAAGGACGAGGAAGCTTTAGCTACGATTTGTCTTCACATTGAACCTCAAGTTTTTCCGTTTGTACGTCAAGCTTCAACGGCGAAAGAAGCTTTGGATATTCTCATTAAAACCTTCGAGTGTAAAAGTATCAATCGTCGTATCAAGCTCTTAGATGCATTTTTAGACGAACGTTTGGAGAAGCATGACAATATGCAGGATTACATCGCTGCAGTCATGAACCACGCTCATAAGCTAAGTGACATCGGTAAGGCAGTGGACGATGACTTGATTGCAGTAATTTTATTACGGGGCTTACCAGAGAAGTTCACTTCAATGAGAATGGCGCTGCAGCATTCAGGAACAAAGTTGACTTCTGAAGTTGTCAAAGCAGAGTTACTTCATGAGGATGGCGGAACTTCAAAAACAACAGATCCTGATGCGGCTTTTGCAGTGAAGAAAAAGGGTGGTATAGCAAAAGCGGGAACAAGTAAGAATTATCAGCAGATTGGAAGCGCGTCGAGCTCAAACTCCAAAATTAAGTGCTTCAAGTGTGGACTCAAAGGTCACAAGAAGAGTGAGTGCACGTCTACCAAATGTCACGTGAACCAGATGAACGCTAAATGCTTCAATACCCTACTAGGTGTAGAAGGTTTTACTCCTCAAGATTGGTATTTAGATAGTGGTGCGTCGTGTCATCTTACGTTTAATAAGGAGTGGTTTAGAGACATTAATTCTTCTAATATGGAAAATGCTACTATTACTTGCGCTAACAGCCAAAAGCTCAGTGTATCTGGTGTGGGGAATATATTAACAAAGTTGAATGGCGATGATGTAACATTCACTGGTGTTAAATTAGTCCCTGATCTATGTGCTAATTTATTATCTGTTTCAAAAGTAGTCGAAAAAGGTAATGTAGTTGTGTTTGGGTCGACTGGGTGTAATATTTATAATGACCAGGATTGTTGTATCTCAGGAACATCTGTGGCAACTGCGAGCAAGGTAGCTGGGATCTACAAGTTAGACAGCTGTGTGCCAATTGTAGATAGCGCCTTGGCAGTTCAGGTTGAGAAGACAGCAGTGAAGTTGTGGCATCGTAGATTAGGACATGTTAACTTTCAGGACATGAAACGTGTACCAGGTTTAAAGTTCGTCGGAGACATGGATAAGTTGGAGTCTTGTGAGTCGTGCATTAAAGGAAAAATGCATAGGATTCCTTTCGACAAGGATCACGAGGCGGTGCGAGCTACTGAGAAGTTGGGACTTGTGCACATGGATCTCTGCGGTCCTATGGAAAACAAATCATATGGGGGTCATTCGTACTTTTTAATTGTCGTTGATGATTGCACAAGAAAAATGTTTATTTATTTTTTGAAGTCAAAGACTGATGTTCTTGACAGGTTCAAAATGTTTGTGAATGAGGGAGAGACCTACTCAGGTAAGAAAATTAAAATTGTTAGGACAGACAATGGTAAAGAGTTTGTCAATGCAGAGTTTAATGCTTATCTAAAAAGCAAAGGAATAAAACACCAGTTGAGCGTGCCGTATACACCACAACAGAACGGGGTGGCAGAAAGGGCTAATCGTACAGTAGTGGAAATGGCAAGAAGTATGTTAGCGGATTCAGGTCTGAATACAAAGTATTGGGCAGAAGCTTGTCATACTGCTGTGTATACGAAAAATCACCTTCCACACAGTGCTAACGGTGGAGCTATTCCAGAGAAACTTTGGTCTGGTAATGACGTAGATGTGAACAAATTTAAAGTGTTTGGTTCACGGGCGTTTGTACATATTCCAAAAGAACTTCGAAAGAAATGGGACTACAAAGGAAAAGAATACATTTTCGTAGGATACTGTGACGAAACAAAAGGCTATCGTTTTTCTGATCCAAATATTCCGAGTCGTGTTATCAAATCGAGGGATGTAGTATTTTTGGAGGAAACGAAGGAAATCGAAGCGAAGAACGAGGCAATATCAGAGAAAAGTAAAGTATTGAAAAATTCTACAGTCAATGTTCTAAAGCCTAAAAGACAGAAAGAAGAAAACATAGTAGTATGGGAATTCTGTGAGCCTAAAGTGACTAGAAGAGCAGATCTAGAAGAAGTAGAAACTTTCGAAGATACAGTGGAAATACAGGATAGCTTGACGGAAACTGAAGTAGTGCAACCAGAACCAGATAGTTCAGGTCAAGAGAACAACTTAGATGTTACATCAGAACATGAAGCTGAAGTTGAGGTAATTGAGAACAGAAGATATTCGCTGAGAAGTGGAAGAAATTTACACCCTGATTTTGCACATCTAGTTGCTGAAGAGAAGGAACCGTTGACTATTGGTGAAGCTCGTAGTCGAGAGGATGCTGATCTCTGGGAAGAAGCAATCAAGAAAGAACTTAACTCTATGCGGGAAAATCAAGTATGGGAGCTGGTAGATAAGCCACCAAGAGCGAAGGTCGTCGGTAATAAATGGGTATTTAAATACAAACAGGATGCAGAAGGAGTTACAACTTACAAAGCAAGACTCGTTGCAAAAGGTTTCACTCAATCAGAAGGAATCGATTATTTCGAAACCTTTTCACCGGTGGTGAGAAGATCGAGTTTGCGTTTTTTGTTAAGCCTTGCTGCAGCCCTGGATTTGCATATACATCATTTTGACGTAAATACAGCGTTTCTCAATGGTGATTTAAACGAAAGAGTTTATATGCGACAGCCAGATGGTTGCATAAAACAAGGAGAAGAACAAAAAGTTTGTTTACTGAAAAGAGCTATTTATGGCCTGAAACAAGCGTCAAGGAGTTGGAATATAAAGATCAATGACGTGTTATTGACATTGAATTTCAAACGTCAAGATGTTGACAATTGTATTTACACGAAAAATTCAATAAATTCGGAGGAATTTATCGCGATAGCTATATATGTTGACGATTTGGTAATTTTTTGTAAAAAAGAGCAAACAAAAAGTACTTTGTTAGAAGATCTGAAAACTTTCTTTAAAATTAAGGACCTTGGACCGGCAAAACAGTGTCTAGGCATGCGTCTTGGACGTGAAGGGTCTACGATCACACTGGATCAGACCAAGTATATTGACGCAATTTTAAGTGAATTTGGCATGCAGGACTGTAAACCGGTAAGTACACCACTTGAGTTGGATGTTCACTCGACTCTAGCTTCGGCGGTGGTGGGCAATGCTATTCATATACCTTACCAAGCTATGGTCGGTGCACTAAACTACTTGGCTACCAACACACGACCGGATATAGCTGTAGCAGTGAGTACACTTAGCCAGTATAATTCTAAATATGGGTTGACACATGTAAAGGCGGTTAAGCGGGTATTTCGTTATCTGAAGGGTAGTAGAGAAAAGAAACTCTATTTTAGAAAACATCCGAGTAATAAAATTAACAACATTACAGGGTACTCTGATGCAGATTGGGCCGGGGATGTCAAGGATAGGAAATCCTTTACGGGATACATATTTAAAGTTGGTGGAAATACAATATCTTGGGAGTGTAAAAAACAAAGGTGTGTGGCGCTTTCATCAACGGAATCGGAGTACATTGCACTAAGCGAATCTGCGAAAGAAGCAGTTTACTTAAGAAAATTGGTGAGTAGCCTCATTCCAAGTGATGACAATCTATGTGTGAAGATTTACGTGGATAACCAAGGTGCGATTAAGTTGGCTTATAATCCAGTTCATCATAAGCGCACTAAGCACATAGAGCTGAGGATTCATTTTGTTAGAGACTGTGTTGCCAGTGGTTCCATATCACTGGAATATATCCCCACAGCAGACAACATAGCTGATGCTTTGACTAAATCGCTACCGAAGGCTAAGTTAGGGAACTTTATTGACAGTTTACTTGGCTAGGCAGCTTGTCATAGTTTGTAAGGTTTTATATTATATTTTATTAATATAATGTTATTTTAATTTACATTGGATCTGTGTTTGAGGGGGTGTGTTAGAGATTAGATACTCTTTGTACTAATCTATGATATCTTGTCATCGAATAAATGGTCTATCAAACAGTCGATCCGTGTATTTAATTCTAATTTTCTAATAGGTCCCGTAACTAGGTAAGGCGATACCGTGGATGAAGTATTTTACTCTAGCTGGATATAACTTCCTGAAAAATTTTATATGGAAACATTTGTCGAAGTTAAACATTATTGCGTTATTATCACACTAAACAACAATACTGTCCATATCTGTTTGGAGAGTACATATATCACTTGGGTTTTGATTCTCCGGTAAAAAAAATAATTATTGACATATATTTTAAATTCTTATTTTATTACTGAAGTAATATTATTAATAAATATTAGAAATAATAAAGGCCCTAAATGTGAGCCTTGAGGAACACCGAAAGAAATGCTTTTAATTGAGGTCTTATATCCATTTATAACGGCAAGCGACTCCGAAGATACGACTCACGCCACCTTGAAAGTGATCCATTGACCTATGTGTTCAAGTTTTTGCAACAGAAGATTATGGTTGACAAGGTCAAATGCCTTTTTAAAATCTGTATGCATAGCATTAAGTTCTCCTCGTCTATCAACAACATGGTCTAGATAACTTACATACACAATAAAATTTGTAGACTTACGCGCTTGAATCCCGTGTTCGTTTGCATGCAAAAAACTCTTAACGTGATACAAAAAAATCTTATTTCAAATCAAGCCAGGTACAGACAAGATTGATATCGGTCTATAATTACTAACAATATTTTTGTCACCGTTCTTGTGAACTGGCGTTATATATACAATCTTCCAACAAGCAAGATAAATTCCAGACCTTATCAAAGAATTGCAAATATAATGTAAAGGTTTACACAGATACTTTGCACAGCGTTTGAATAAAATAGGTGGTTATTGGTCTTTTCCAGCTTGATTATTACAGTCCAGAGTTGAGAGGCACTTAAAAATTTCATTTTCACTCAAAGAGGCGTCACTCGGTGAAAGCACATTTAAATCTTGTGGCTTGTAAACAAGGGTCTCTATCGCTGGGTCACTGGAATCATAGACAGTTTCAAAACATTGTGAAAATAGATTGCAAATTTGCTTTCCGCACGTGACTCTTATGTACATTTTCTAATACCATCTCATTCAGTCAGTCAACTGCCAGAAATACTTTGAAAATAGACAAGAAAACATAAATTGTTTAAATTCCAAGTTGGGTTAACTAAAGCACTCCTATAAGATAATATCTGAAAGAACGAATGTACTGCAACAACCAAACTCTTGACAATTTAGAGACGTTCATTTTCTACATTGACCCGACCAGTAATTGAACCTGAGACACTACTATGACTGCAGCTGGAGTCGTTATTATTGAAGTTGAACTAATTTCAAATAGTATAAAGGGTTATTTCAAACATAATGGTGTATATTTTGTTTTCCTGTGGTTTAGTAACGATAATATAACATATTTACGATCAAATTTTTTTAATTCATGTTTTATAATTAAGATTGATATTTTTATTGTAATACATATATTTATTAACATTTTATGTTTGTTTTAATAGGGATGATGAACTATGTATAACCCACTATATAGAAATGTACAAAGGGGTGATGTTATAGGTTCTTTCTCGGCAAGCTCGTCCCACAGCCGATCTCATTTATCTTTCAATGAAAGTCCTAATTTATTGATTATGCAAAAATAAAAAAAAATGTGTTTAATATTCTTCAATATTCTTTCTGGTAGACAGAAAAACAAAAAATAGTCATCACCCCTATAGTGTGGTATATTTACATGATCATCTTAGTTCATCTGAGTTCTCATCATTGCTATTTATGATATATCTAATGTACCTCCGTGTACATTAGGTATAATCATAAGTAGCAATGTGTTTATAGATATCAGTTTTATGTTTTATATTTTATCTCCGACATTAGCAGACCACAAAAAGACAGGAAAGATGTGAATATTGATCATAACATATACAATATTAAATTTGTGTACTCAATAGATCTCGTTTTCAATATTTAATATTTTTCCTAAAAAAAATCTTCAAGAAATATTTTAAAAACAACTTCCTTTTACTGTATATACTAAGCATAGCTATATGTTTTCTTCGAAGCACGTCAAAATGATTTTCCCTCTCCTAGTCGATGTAACCAAACTCATTAAAAATCACATCAATAACTATTAACTATTATTTTACAGGAAAAACTTGGATTAATCCAGAATCCAAATTTCAAGTGGAATGCATAAAGAAAACTGCACAGACCTGCCTTATTTTTGATCTTAAAGACAGTGGATATATAGAATCTAATTCGTATCATACAGATAGAAAACAAAATACGAGCTTTTGGCTAAGCAATTACAGAAGTAAAGACCTCAAGAAACAATTTGATCTAACTCAGTTTTACAATAATGTGAGTATGGAATTATCACATAAAATAGTTTTGTGTACTACAACTTTCTCTTAATATTTAGATAAAGAAGAATAAATACGAGTAAATAACAAATATTGAATGAAGTAGTCCAAAACCCAGTGCACGATAACTTTAAACTACAATGAATGTTCAAAATTTGTATCGTCGTTAAGAGTTGTTAGCGAAAAAAAATGTTTAAAATATTATAATTATTTCCTATAAATAGAGTTGTTAAAAAAGTAGTGGATCGTGGTGTCCTCAATAGAATACATGACCTATTGAGAAACGTCATAATAGAAACACGCAAATGTTAGTATTGCTAAATGTTAAATATAAAATTAATTTATGTAGTCATTTTTAAATTTAAATAAGTCTGTTATTATTAAATCAATTATCTATTTATACATTGTTGATTAATAACCTAACCATTTCCAAATGGTGCAACTCAATATATGCTCCGGAAATTTAACATGTTTGTTATTGTTAAAGTAAGTTGGTGCAACCGAGAGTTTTAAAAGTCACTTTATTAATTCCTGAATAAAACATCTATTAATGTCCCCTATGCGATCACGTAATGTTTTGTGAACATACTGATTGTTATATGTACTTGATCAATTTAGCATTTTTCATTAAGAATATTTTTCAGTATAGCATTGTGAATGCAAAATTGAACAAATATAATATTAAGAGCAAATTTTTATCTTTATCGGAAGTTTATTTTTTTGTAAAAATATTTATTTCGGCTGTTTGGGTGGATTGCCTGAATATTGATAAAAATAGGCTATGTAGTAGCGAAAAAGTAACAAGTGCTTGAAAAATTCGGTAGTCTTGTTAGGTCCTGTGTAGCTCAATGATTAGAGTCATGCCAGGGACAAGTGGTTTATTTATGCATTTTTCACTAAAAACAACTTACTGATTGGTTATGAAAATTTCTGGATATCACAGTTTCATAGTTATGGTAAATAAATCTGTTAAATTAAAATGAACATGTTGTTTACATACTTTTATTTTCAGATCACAATAAAACAAATAGCTTGGCTACAAGAGAGAACTCAACAAGTGACGCAAACAATAAGATATCACTGTAAAAACTCATACGTAATGGAGAATCTAGAAACGGCATTGCATTTGTATTCATGGAATGATGTCGTCATAGGACCAATGAGTACTACTTATACTCCAGTATACTACTCTATACTTCCAGACCATAAGCATGATTGTACAGTAAGTTTTTTTTTATATTTAAATAACTAATGTAAATAATAGCAGATTTATTCTTCCCTATCGATGGATTCAGATAGAAGTCAAGCCCAGTGCGGATTGACGCGTAATGACAGCAGATGCAGCTGAGATCAACTGTTTAACGTGAGATATTTTATAGATAATGTTACAAGATTTTTTTTTGGTAGAAATATGTTAGAAATACCTACAAGAGGCCTTAATCAAATCAATTCTAAGACTAAATCTAATTATAGTTAAATTCAAAATTGGTTGACAAAAATCGGTCTTTTGAACTGCGTGCACAAAGAGTTGAATATACTGATTAGATTTTCATTGCAGGCAGATGCGCCAAAAGATAAATGGCTTTACAGTGACATCACAGTAAGAAGTAATACTAAACGACTACCAATTATCGACTTCCATATAAGAGACAACCGCGAAGAAGATCAATATTTCTACATTGAAGTTGTCAATCTATGTTTTAATTAATATTATATAATATTAAGATTTCTGTGTTATAAACATACCGTTTTAATTAAAATATTATTGGAAAAACTTTTTGAAGTATCCGGTTCGAAAAACCGACATAAAAAATAAAGTTTTATTTTTTCTCTTTAACTTAGACTTTGTGGCTACAATTGACACTTAAAAAGAAACAAATCTTGTTAACTAACAATTTTTATCGTGTCTTTCTTAGTTATACGTCTCCACGTATATACTTAGCAAGAACATGACAAAGCTTTCAACATTATTCAATGGAGCATGGTACTATCTAATGAATTTTGGCCGCAATTGTTCTACTAAAATCTCCGCGAAATGCTACAGTGTAGTTGCTCTAACCTGGTAGTTAGTGTAATGATGTTTCTTTAGTGTAATTCCATTAGATACGTGCATTTAAGAGGACCAAGATGTAATAAAAATTAAGTTGAGATCTTCATTACATATTGATCCTCTTCCAACCTCCAAGTCGAGGTTTGACCAAAATCTTCTTCAAGATTTATTGCAGGAGCTCGATAGCGCAGTGGTAAGTGCGTTAAGCAAACTTTTGCAAGAGTCTGTCATAGGATTAGTGATAAAAAATTATTATGTCGAGCTTCTCCGTGCTTCGGAAGAATACGAACTGGCCACATATGGTGAGTAATAGTCCATTTTCTCCATTCAATTCGATTCCATCAATAAGAACAGTTGCTGATGAAAGCAATCCAGTCGAATCAAAATTTAGTATAAATATATATATGATATGATATAATGCAATATTGTATGTCTTGGATGGTCCGTCATAAAATTTGTCAACGAGCCACAAAGGTTACAATAACATTCAAGTGCTGTGTACTAACAGAATAAAGAAACTACGCTCTTGCAATAGTATTGCAATTTCGCTTCCTCACACGATTGTATCTACTTCTTTCATAAAAAAGCATAATTATTGAAACAATATTCCTATTTCACTGTTTAACACATATTAATGATAAGACATAGAAAAGTGATAAAAAAAATCTAAATAAATAAACTTAAAACGAATTTGATTAATACTTGGTTTACGTTGATTATATCATTCCGCTTACAACAAAACAAAACAATTACAAAGCAAATTGTTGATAATCAACAAAGAGCCTGAAACGTGATCGTTTTACTGTTTCGAAGATTCCACTTGATTGTTTTGTGTTTTCGATGGATTTCATACATGTATTAATTAAAAGAAAGTAATACAACATATAAATTACAAAATTAATAACATTGTAAAGACTTACTCTAAGATATTAACTGTCGATTCACCATTGAAAACAATAAAATAAATAAAGTTACCGTTTCACAGCAAAACGCGTTACGTGCAGAACAGCGGTGAAGCGTAACACGGCTTTAATGAAATTACAATGGTTTAGAAAAGAGAAACTATTCTTTTAATATATAATTATTTAATTCCATCATTTTTTTGAATTCTTAACTACAGGAATTGCCGTCAGACCAAAATTGTCTATAAACCTTATAGAAATCGAATTGCAGATGCTTATTTGACAACAAACGTATTTATTTCTTATATATTCCAGCTAAGGCAATGCTCAAGTAGAATTCAAAGATAAGTGGAATCTAGTATATCTATTCCTTCTAAGGATTCTCTATAAGTGGAGTTCACTCTTTATTTTCTTATTTTCTTTGTATTTTTTTATATTTTTATTTCAAAGCAGCATAATGTACAAAATAAAAGAAAGTGTTGATTCAGCTATTTAATTTCAATGTTCATATCCATACAGTGCTGGGAAAAAAAACACAAAACGCCTTTAGATGTGATACATTTACCAATTTACAAAAAGGAAAACACATATGCATATATTTATTTGAATTGACTTTTTATGACTTTATATGTGTACAATAAAAGTGTTAAAATTTAACTTATCTAATAAAAACTTCGTTTAGATACTTATAGAATACTTGAATTTTTATATTTGAAGGAATACATAAAACATACTCGTAATAAACGACTCATTAATAAATTGTGTCACAGAGTATCTAGAACAATCCAATCACAATTTTGCCAAATTACTTCGCGACTTAATCTTTAACAAACAACTTGTCTCATAGGGAAAGAATGGTGGTAGTGGTTATAGGATAACATCAAAATGATACATGGAAATTGGATGATTTTCCTATTTCCGAATTATATGACATTAACATAAAACGAGATTGCTCGGTATAATTTGTTTGTTTGTTAGATTCTAGTGAATATCAATATGAAAATATTAATATTCACTAGAGTCAGATTCGGAAGTTGATTTTGATAATCATTATCAAAAATACAATAATAAGTAATATCAGGTATATGCACTGATCGAATTAAATAGCCCTTGTTTTTTATGAATTCATTATGATTATATTTGAAATATATTATTAATTCAACTATACATTGAAATACAAAATGTAATTTGGGGGTAAAATAATGTATTTTGTTATCGAGAGGTTTGAGAAGTATCATTGGTGATTCAAAAAATATATACCTACATAATATTTCAATAGTAGAGAGCATAAAATGCATGGTTTAGATACCGAATTAAGTAGCTAAAGTTTATATAAACGACCTGATAGAAAAAAATATATAAAGATGAATCGGAGTCGGTCCGATACGACCCATTTGATCAAGAATCCCGTATTCAAAATATACGTATGCATAATGAATTTTCTACTGATTTATCTAAGAAAAACTTAATCCCTATATAGTCAGACGCCTCAGTGTGATTTCACGCTGAATCTTGGAACACTGAGGCGTGTATTAATGTATCTGAGTAAGACAACGACCATACACGTAAAAGGTACAAATTATACAATCTGTTATATTCCTCTACTCCTAATTTGACCGGCCTACTAATAAAGTTTCCAGTTTAGTTAAATCATATGATTTTATAACACATGTGCACTAAAACATGGTATTGGGGTTTTTTGCATCGCTCAAGCTTTCTCTAGTCTCTAGCAGAAACTAGTAATATTATAAAGTTTTTACTACATCCTCACACGTGTTACATGAGGCTACAGCAAAACCTCATCATATCCTGAGTAATTCACATTCATTAATCCATTTCAAGGCGGCGTGTCGTATCATAATGTACGAATAAATTATTCGCACACACTAAACACTGTGGCACGTGACAAATTTCATTATAATTACACTTTCAAGGGATTAATGTGCTTTCGACGCTAGTTTTAACTAATTTAATACCATCCCATTAGGGGCGGTTTTGCTTTAGTTACCATAAAACGATGTGTTATATAAATTAGATAAGGATGATATGAGATTTCAGTAAAGCTAAATATGGAAGGAGACTAATTCTGCTTGTCTGTCCGTCGGGGAGGTTATTGAAGAATATTTAAGACCCTTGGCGTGTTTTAAACGCGCAGATGACGCACAGATCACGCTCATATGCTTCAAACTAGATTTAAACTTGTAACCTAAGCACCCGGAGTGACCGTAAAACGTACGTCTACTGCGCATATACGAGCAGATACAGAACACTCACACAATTGTTCATATTTTTTGTGGTTCCAATAGTGGTGTAGACATTTTTTTATATTTTTTTATAGACATACATGAAATATATCTAAAAATATATATAATAAAGAATCGTTCATTTAATAAGTTAAAATCTAAAAATAAATATAATTTTCGCAACGCCAACTTCCGACATGGCATCGCTATGACATCAGACCCCTTATCGTTCTATGTATGTATTATGCTCAAAGATCGAGATGGCTCAATGAGCAAAAAAATAATTCACTATGCGTTGTGACAACGAGTATAAAATATTTGTTTAAGCAATATTATAAATATAATAAACATAAAAGCTCGGTGGCGTAGTAGATAAGCGCCGCGGCCCGCGATCGTTGTCGTTAAGTAACTTTCGCAAGGGTCGGTCACGGGATGGGTGACCAAAAAATTATTATCTCAAACTACTCCGTGCTTCGGAAGGCACGTTAAGCCGTTGGTCCCGGCTGCATTTGCAGTCGTTAATATCTTCCAATCCGCATTGGGCCAGCGTGGAGGTTCATGGCCCATCCTCCTTAACCATCCATAAGTAAGGCCTGAGCCCCTGCAGTGGGGACGTAAAAGGGGCTGATGATGATGATGAAACATAAAAGTGTGATTATCGGTAATAGTATATTAAGCTCTACACACTCGTATTGAGTTGAAATGTTGCACGTTTGTACATTTTCTACATAGTTGTACTGAATAAACATATTCTATAATTTTGAAATAAGTTATTTGCGTACAGAACCTAAATCCTAGGCTCTATTGCTAAATCCTAAATCTCACTGAAATATAATATAAGAATTTCTGTAACAACGTTCAACATGACATATTTTCGTTACATTGTGATCCACACACGCAAACTTTTTTAATATAAGAAGACAATTGACCTATTTGCAAAGATTTATTCATTTTCGTTTTGGGCGAATTAAAACCCTCTACTGTGTCTTACTCACTAACTAATCTTGTGTGCATACCTGCTATGATTATAAAAAGTTTGCTGCGTTATTTTCCTTCAAAGTCAAAGTCAAAATAATATTTATTCTAATAGACTTCTTAAAAGTACTTTTGAATCGTCCAACATTTTTTCCATACCACTCGTTCAGGACGTCTTTTGGCTGATAAGAAGAAGAAGCAAGAAACTCACCAGCTCTAATAAGAGTAATGACATTTACAAAAACCATGTTATTACAAGATCAATACATTACAAACAGAGATAGAAAAAAAAACTATGGTCTTATAATGATAACATAATCATTTAATAATAATGGAAACAAGATAATGAGTTTAGAAGTAATCACCTATCCAGTTGCTGGATCATCTCAAGTCCAAGCGTTCTTATCTGTTATATAATCGGATTCCTTATAATAAGCTTTATACTAATAACTAAAATGTTTGTGGGTCTTCTTTTACCATTGTTTTATTTGTGAAAGTTAAATAAAAGCGAGAAATGTCGTCACCAATATCGCGTACG